GGAGCGCCAGGCTCACAACTGACCCGAACTTCTTGGAAGGCTCTTTATCAAACGGGTCAAAGTCACTGCCTTGGGGGTTAAAAGATTTAAAATGAAATTGCTTTGATTGCATAGATTTTAGGGGGTGCCTTTGGGACCAACATGAAGATTCGGGGATCTGCTGTGGCTTCACCAAGGCAATGAGGACAACTGCACAGCCTAAGACTGGAGGGTTATCGTGGTCGCTGTTGGCCAGTGAGGACACTCTCTCATCTCCAGTTTCCAGGTTCTGCTCTCTGTGACAAAGCTGAAGCGAAAGGAAGGATCCGACAAGTTGCAAAGAGAAGCAGGTGGTTACTTTCATGGGATCTAGGACACCTAGGGGAAGAGAACTCAGTCTTGGAAAACAGCTTCAGACTCTGCAGGTGGAACCCTTTCCACCGGGGAAGGGGGCTGGACTTCAGGGACAGAGGCGCCACTGACGACAGCCAGGAGATAGGATCTCACTTACTAAAAAGAAATGCGGAACAAAGTCTGCAGCCCATGGCATACTGCAGGAGCCTCTCTACTTCCAGAGATCCCAGCTGAAAAAGAAAGTTCCCTGCAGGACGGGAGGAAGGAGCTCTGCAAAAGCTCCACTCTGCCTCAAGCCTCCTGCCTTCTCCTGTGGATGCTTCTAACAGCCCCCCTAACCCCCAAAACACATGAACACTCTCCTGTGCAACTTCTCACCCTCAGTGCCACATGGTACAGGTATGAGCTTGCCATGGGACATGCTTAGCCCCATAAAACTCATTACCTTCCTGTCCCTGCCAGGACCCAGGTGCTCAAGGACCCTGGTTCTGCTGCCTGTGCCTCAGGAACTACAGCTCCAACCCTGCTCATTCCCCTGGGGCTTTGCTGGAACGTTCTATGGGTGGCTGGCTCCAGAAGGAAGGAGAGAAAGAAACACGTGTCTTTTTGAAAGTCTAGAAATCTCCATGACCCAAGTGTTCAGGGAATAGGCAGTGTTCTCCAAGCTGAATTTCTGTCCAAGTCTCACCGATCTACTTCCACTTTCCAGGAATTCACAAATAAGTAAGTCACTGTTATTTTGTGGCTGCCAGTAGCTCTGTTTGCCCCATAGCAAGCAATCCCAGACCGATGGACCAGACTGCTTCGACTTTTTGCTGTGACACTTTGTGGACTGATCTTCTATACGTTGCTCGCCCATCTATATGATTAGCTTTTGCATAAATTCCTGGATGTGGACTAGAAGGTGAGAGGGCTTGAATATTTCATGTCTTGATGTGACTGTCTTGGGGTGACTCAGACCCTCCCTGGGGCCATGGTAAGTTTCATCTGACCTTCACATGGATAGAAAGCCACTCTTAAGTGGGGAAACCTGACCACCTAGACTGTGGCTCCATGAGGGCAGGGTCCAGGCCTCCATCAAAGAGGAGGGAGGGCTTTAGAACTGGAGGAGTTAATTAGAGGGGGATTGAGAAATCTATAAACACCCAGAAATGACTGACAGGTGCTAATTTCTTCTTCAGTATTCACAAAGGCTTTCTGTTAATTAAGAAGAGAGAGAGCCCAGGGGAGGTGTGGCAAGCCGGGTGTTCTGGCACAGGCGGGCCAGGCAGGCTGCCCAGCGGTGCCTTCTGGAGCTGAAGGGCACAGCTTGACTTTGGGGGTACACACCAGGTACAGCCTGGTCCTCATGGGACCTTCTTGGGACAGAGGCAGTGTGGTGCTTGGGGCAGACAGCAGCTTCTCAGTTTCTTCTTTTTGAACCTAAGTAGTTGCTGTTCTTTGAGGAAAGAGACATGTGTGGCTTGGCTAGGGACTTGAGGTCTCCCATTGCCCAGAGAGTCCGCTCCACAGATGACCAGGGAAGGGTCATTTTCCCCACATGACTGATGACAATGAGGCTGTGCTGTAAAGCGAGCTGCAAAGTGGGCTGCTTGTTTGGGCATATTGCCGAGGAGGCCCCCGCATTCTGCCTCATGAGGAGCAGCGGCACAGTCACAAGGTGGAAACCACCCCAGGCACCTCCTCCTGTCCCCCTTCATACCGTGCAAAGCCAGGACTGAGTTAAAGCTCTAACCTGCGTCACTCTGGACAGCTGGGGACATACGGACACAGCCTGGCCGAGGTGCATGCATGGGGCAGGTGGATAATCGTGCGTGCAGCATGCCTGTGTGTGGTGTGTGTTCACTGTCTACATATGCATTGTGTCTCTCACTGTGTGTGTGAATATGTATGTGTGAGAGTCTGTTCAAGAGCTGATTGTACCCCTTTCAAGTTATGTGTCTTTGGGCAACCTTCTGACATTTCTTTGACTCACTTTCTTTATCTGTAAAATGGGACTAATAGTAATGTCTGCTTCGTAGGTTTGGAGTAAAATGATATGAATGTGCATAACACACTTAGAACACCATCTAGCAATTGAAGAGCTTGTTATTTATTATTATTTAACTTCAGCAGTATCGTTAGCCTGGAACCCCCTTCCACCTCTACTAATCCATCTGCTTGGGGAACTCCTACTCATTCTTCAAGACCCAGGTGAAAATCAGGCCATATCAGGTTCATGTCACGGTACAAGAAGACCCAAACTTAGGACTCTGGTTCAAGAGCAGAACACGGTTCCCAAAGCTGTCAGCAGGAGCCTCTGCTCCCTCATACCCCCGTCCACTTAGCAGAGGGAGAGCTCTGTTGGCTGTGTTCCTTAGTCAACACACACATGTACATATATGCATACATCCACATGGGTGCGTTTGCACATTCCTGAACAATAACCACATAGACACAAACCATACACCCACATATAGTCCATATGGATACAGGAGGTGCAAATAATCTGTGTCCTCAGTGTTCACAGACCCAGGACTCACACACGACCTTTGTACACATACAGTGCACCCAGATGTAAACCCTCCATCACTGTGTACACACAATGTCATTTCTCTGCACACACTTTGTCAACATGTAAGACAGATAAGATACACCTATAATACTTAAACATTTATATAACTTGTACAAACACACCTAGTATGCACACAACACAACATACACATACATGGAAAGCACTTAGGTGTATACATAGAGTATACCTGTCAAGGGTGAACACACTGTATACAAGGCAACACATGGATAAGAACACACATGCTTGCACATATTTAAGTTGCAAAAACAGGCCTGTGCCCATCATCCTGGGGAAATGCCACCCTGAGCCAGTGCCCCTCCCTTTAACCTTCAGAGCTGAAGGCTGTGTGGGACCCACAGATGGGGAATTAATTGGCGTCATTAACATGTGGCGATGATAATGACTTCCCATCGATCCCAGTGGCAGACGTATGGCCAGCCCAAGGTGGATCTGGGAGCTCAGAAGTGGGGGCCAGCCTCCCTGGCAGAGCCCCGACCTTTGGTGGCCACACCAGGGATCACTGTTCTTCCCAGCTGGGATGAGGCCCACCTGCACATTTCCCGCAGAGCCCGAGGCTGGGTTGGGAGAGGGTGGTGGAAATCCAGGATCTGTAGCGACTCATGCCAGGTCACTGGGCCTGCCGGAGGCTGGGCCACCTCCTCCCATCTGACTCTCCCCTCGCTACTCCATCTCCTCTACCTCTCCAAACCCTCTGTAGGAGAAGTTTGCTGCCTCTCCTCCAGGCTCTAGCTGGTTGTCGGAGGGGCTGGTTCTCTTGCAGTCTGTCTTCTGTCCTGGAGCCCTTGGTGGGCTGAGAGCGCCAGGCAGAGGAGCTGGGATGTAGGAAGGAGAGGCCCTGGAAAGCAGTGAAGAGGATGACAGCCCAGAGGTGGTGGTCAGAACAGACAGATCCTCCTTCCCCATGCAATGCTTCCTCGTCCCAGAAGCCTCCATGGCAGGTCCTGTCCTCTGAGGCTTCTGCTAGTTTCACTCCATCCCAATCCTTCTCTCACAGAATAATGATGTCCATTTGCTCATCTCCTTCCCTGCTGTGTCATGTGCCCTTTACTTAAGCACTTTATCTAAAGAAATCGTTTTGTACCGCCTTCAGACTAGCCCAGAAGAGGCACCAGTAGGTGCCTATTGAGGGTTGGGTAAAAGGAGACAGACTGGAAGGTTGAGGCCAGGACTGGAGGGCCGACCAGAAGAGTGTTGGAGAGCAGCTCCAGGATGGGGGGACAGCAGGCCCACGGTGCTGCTTCACAGGCTGGCCTGGTGCCTTTTTTGGAGGCGAGTTTGGTTCTCTGGGGCCCCCTAGAGGCCTTGGAGACCCCTTCCTATCTACCTGGTCCCAGCAGCAGAGGGCCCTGCAGCTAGTGAGGGGCTGGGCTGGGAGGCGGAGTGGCAGTGGGCAGGTGAGCAGGCAGGGAGGGGGCATTTTAATGGGATCCAAGAACTAAGATTCAGACTCAGAATTCAAGCATGGGCATAGAGGCTGAGCTCATCCTCAGTAGCTCTCTAGAAGCCCAACCTGGGTCAGGTCCCTAGGGATACCCCCAGACTGCCTGGTTGCACTGAATTTGTTACTGTCACTGCATTTCCAGGGCTTCTAATGAACTGCTAATGAGCTGTCAGCTAATTATGAGAATTAAATGGGGCAGCCAGGCCGGGCTGAGCTTTCACTGTAAGCTTCTGGGGTATCAGAAGGAGGAAAGTCTCACACACCTGAATTGACCTTAGCCCCCAAGTGACTGTAGAGCAGTGAGGAGAACCCCAGAATAAGGCAGACTCCTGATCTCACAGCTGGCAGGGCTACAACCATAAGGACAGTCCTTGACAGGGAAGCTGTCAGAAAGGCCTACTGTGAGTGACCCAGGTAAGTCCCTATGGGTCTGGACTCTATCTTCCTCTCTGTGAAATGGGTCTGGAAGGGAAGAGCAAACCTGATCCCTGCAGGTCTTTCATCCCATCCCACTTCCATTATGACCCTGTGAATTCCCTCTCTTTATAGTGAGGTTCAGAGGCCCTAAGCTCTGTGCCCGGGGTCACATAACATATTGGTGAAACTGAGTAATCTTCAACTGAGTGTACAAGTTGACACAGATAAGCTCAAGAATGTTCATAGCAGCCTCGTTCATAATAGAAACAGAAACAACCCAAATGTCCATCAGCAGGCGAAGGGATAAATAAACCATGACACAGTCATACAGTGGAGTAGTACATAGCAACAAACAGGGCAGACTTCTATAGGCAGGCTTCATTTCACGTGGTTCTAATACTTCACAATCTGTTACTGCAGTTAGAGAAGTAATACTAGTCTCCTAGTTGCACAGTTCAAATTTTAGTTACTATGGCATTTAACTGTAATTGCAAAAATACAAATGTCCCTGCTATCATTTTAGTCCACAAGTCACTATGTGAACAGCAGCTGCACCCCGTGTTCTGTGACCAATCGGGTCGTTTGATCTGGCGTCTGTAGGCAATTGTCCACTGGGCACCTGCTGCACGTTTCATGGGAAGACAGCAAAGCATGCAGTGGTGTTGCCTCTTTGCCTCCAAGTTACACAAGCACATGACATATTACATAACCAGTAATCAATAAAGTCGAAAGTGCAAAAAAGAAATGGAAATCTATGATGTTGGAATTGAAATTCCAATCAAACATCAGTGGAGTACAGAAGACGGAGGCAGGCAGAATGCTGGCACCACTCTAGACCCGCAGCCGAGGGCGCTCAGAGAAGGTGAAACTTGCAACTTAAATGAGAAACAAGTAGTTGTGACAAAAAGGACCATGATGTCTCAGAGGAAGTGACGCTTGCAAAAAAAACTTCAGATTAAAGGAACTTTCAGAGATAATTCACGATGTTGGAGGCTCACTCAAACTTAGAAAAAGGCAGGCATGAAGGCAAAAGACACTTTTACAAGCAAGTTACTCCTTGTAAAGGAGGCAAAAGCTCTTCAAAATGCTCTTGATGCTGTAAGAAAAAAGCACTACATTAAAATATAAATTTCCAGTAAATAAAAGCACAGATTAACTAAAAAAAAAAAAAAAAAAAAAAAAAAAAAGTACGTCTTCTAGTTAAAATGGCTCATGGTGTCCCCGACAGAAATAAAAAAAATAAAAGAAAATACCCAAAATGTTCTTGATAAGTTGTTAAGTTTTTTACAAAGACGTATAAAACACTTCCAAGATTCTGAATGTTTTTGATTAAACTGTACTAGATGAGTATTAATGCTACAATTTTTGTCTTTTCTCTACACACTTGAAACTAAAGTAAGAGTTTTTAATGTTTTGATTAAAAATGTAAGTCGTGGAGCCATCATGATTCCCACCCGCAGAAGAAGGGTCTCACGGCCCCCACTAACGTGCAAAGCGAGGCCAGGAGACACGGGAGACACTTGCACACTCGATGCGACCGAAGGAAGCAGACACAGACCGGTACCTGCATCGCTGTCCCGCTGCCATGAAGGCGGCATCGCCAGCCTGACACGTGGGGTGGAAGCAGAAGAGCGGCTGCCCAGGGCGCGGCGGGGCTGGAAACTCAGAGGCGTCGCGGGGAGGGCGGCTGGGGCGCTGGGCACAGTCTGTGTTGATTTGCGTGGTGGTCGTAGGCATGCGTGCCTCTGCACAGGCTTCCTCCAGCTGTCTATTTCGAATTTGTGTACTTGATCGTACAAGATAGTGTACACGATAGTCCTAAGTAAATATTGGTTTAAGTTAGAGAAATTCTGTGCATGCCTTGGAGTTTCGGGTGATTCCACCTTCTAGAATTTGACAATTTTTGACACAGTTGTTCTTTGTCTCCGTCAGACTCTGCCTTTGCCTGGCTTCTGTGCCCCAGCACTCCTGGGCCCCTCCTTTCTCTCTGGCCACTCCTTAGTCCCCTCCACCTGGCTCCGGAGTGTGGCCCACTGGCTCTTCACCTTCCTCCCCGCCCGCCTACCACCTGCTGTGCTTTTCCTTTCACAGGCCCCCTCCACCCTGGAGCCCCGGGACAGGGGAAGGAATTTAGGAAGGCAGGAAGGGAGGGAGGGAGGGCAGGAGCTAGGGGGAGGGGAGGAGAAGAGTAAGGAAATTCCGGATGCTGGAAGAGGTAGCTGGGGAGAGGTTGTGCACACAGGCAGAATCGCTGGGGTAGATTTGGGCCTGATCCCGGCTCTAAAGAAGTGGCACCCCATTAACGCTTTCCCAGCCACGCAAGGCATCTCCCTTATTGAGCCTGGAACGCCACACTATTAGCCACAAATGGCATTTTGAAATGGCCTTTTTTTTTTGGGCGAACCCCAAAGACATTGCTAAGATTTACATTTTCAAATATATGCTGACCTTTTTTTCCTCTTTCTTTGAGTTCATTTGTCATCAGTGTATAATTGAATCAATATATTTCCCGATCAGCCCCAAGATTGAATAAGGTCACGGGGAGCCGTGTGTGGGCATTAGACATCATTATTTCACTCCGAATGAGCGGCCATGGCACGGAGCATTCCGGGCGCCAAATGAAATTCTATTAGATTCTATTACACTTTTACAATTATAGAGACGTTCCAATATTACAAGGGGAAATGAAGTCATAATAAAAAAGCCCAGAGGTGTATTACAGAGAAATGGGCACACTATTTTTCTAGTTAAAAACTTGATGGAAGGAGCTCCATTGGCTTTCGGTTGCCGAGCTGTGACCTTGTTCTCAAAGCCCCTCAGCCGCTCTGCCCTCCCTCCCCGCGCCTCTGCCGGCCAGGCCAGCGCACAGACAGAGCCCCAGCCCAGCCCTGACCCTCTGTTCAGTGGAGCCCAGCCCCTGCGCCCCAGGAGCCACAGACATGCTCCCAAACCATATCGCACCTGGGGATACAGGGGCAGTTACCCACAAACCACACCCTTGTGGACAGGAGTGCCAGGGCAGGTACAGATGGCAAGGTGGCCTGGGCAGGGATGCAAGAAGGTGACATGGGACCCTGTGGATGTCATGGGGTGTGTGGGCTTGGAGGCAGCTACCCTGGCTGACCCCTTCTTATAAGGCAGGTATCCAAGTCATGTGGGGCAACATTGGCATTTTGGGGAGCTCATTGTCCTGTAGAACACCCCACATGGGGGCCAGAGTAGCCCCCATCCTGTCCTGACCCATCCAGAGAGTGTTCCACCCAGCCCTGGATCAGAGCTCAGACAGGGCATGGTCTGCTGGGGGCTGCTGAAAGAACCAGGAGACCAGGGCCTCCCCGGTGGCGCAGCGGTTGAGCGCTGGGTTGCGAAGCTGCCCGCAGCCTCTGCAGAGCAGGTTCGATCCCCGGCTGCTCCCCGGCCACCAGAGGAGGGTCCCACATGGCGCGCAGACCTCTCCTGCCGCCCGCTGCTCCCCTCAGCAGTGTACTTCGGTCCTTCTGCCTGCTCTGCTCCCTGCTCTGGCTCTGGTGAATTCTCTCACCCTCCCGCGCTTCTGACTGTACCCAGTGCATGTATAAACAAAAACAAACAAACAAACAAATAAATAAATAAAATAAAAAAAAAAATGCCTCTATTAAAAAAAAAAAAAAAAAAAAGAACCAGGAGACCAACTGGCTTTGGAAGGATTTGGGAGGCTGTGGATAAAGGGGTCAGAGAGGAAGAGCCCTGAGGTCCAGGGGAGAGGAAGAGGTCAATGTGGTGAAAGGCCTGAAGGCTGGGTGAGGCTGGTACATGGGGGCTGGGGGTGGGAAGCAGAACATGCTTAAGGAGGTGGAGGGCAGAGCAGAGAGCAAAGTTCTGGCGAGTGTGCAGAGGGGCCAGGTGAAGGGGCTGGACCTGAGCTTCTGTCCAGAGATAGGGAGAGAGTCTTGGGCGATCTGAGGGCAGGATGGGGCTGGGCCTGGCCTGGGTGTATGGCTGTGGGATAAAGGCTGGACAGCAACCTACAGGGACCCAAACCAGTGGGTTCCAGAAGGTCCCTGGGGTCTGGGTGGAGCTCAGATACCAGGTGCAGGCCCAGGGCATCCTGAGAAGAGGACGGATAGAACTACCAGGACCGGCCACGTCTTCTGGGTCCTATCAGGTCTAATGAAGATCATCTGGTCAACAGATGCGTGGATTTTGAGGTTTTTCCAGGAATGCTGTGCTGGATAGAAGATGGTTTTTCTTCTGGGGAGGTAGGTATTTTCCCATCTGGAGGTCTTGGACTTGGTCATGTGTGGTAAACAGGATTCTAAAGGCCCCCCACCTCCAAGATTCCTGACCCCTCCTTGTCCAATGAAACGCTAATCTAGGTACTGGTGTGAGGGGATGTTGCAGGTACTTAAAGTACCAAGTCAGCTGATCTTAAAAATGCAGAGATTATCCAGGTTGGCCTGACCTAATCACAGCGTTTTCTCCAGTTAGCAGCAGAAAGGGAAGTCAGAGATAATCAAAGTATAAGAAGGATTTGTTGGACCGTTGCTAGTGGGGGTGCAGGAGGCCACAAGGTGAGGCAACCTGGTGCTTTTAGTATTACAGGTGCAAAGAATGAACCTACCCTGTGAGAGCTGAAACGGAAGAGGATTGTAGGGTAAATGAATTAATCAGGCTTTTCACGCCGCTAACCTCTGTGGCTGTCACTGCGGCCTTGATGGTGTTGATGCCGAAGGCGCTCGGGAGTGCGGGCGCGGGGCACGCCTGCCTGATTGCGGACACCTGGAGCACCGGCGGGCGGGCGGGCGTGGGCCTGCCCGAGGGTGCGCACCTGAGCCTGGAGGCGGGGCAAGAGGGCAGTGTCACCCAGAGGTCGACCCTACGAGGAGCACGAGGCTGCAGGAAGAGAATGCCAGAGATAGTCCAGAGGAAGCGTGAAGGTTCGTGGCGGGGCCGGGAGGCTCGCTTGCCCGCCTGCCTCGCAGCCCCCTGCCTGGCCCGGGTCTGCCCCTTGCGAGCCAGCCTCCCTACCTGGTGTACCTGTGGACCTGGTTCCTGACAGCATTAAAGCCTGAAAAACCCACTGAGGGCTCCGGACTCTCCTTATCCATGTGCCAGAATCCAGAGTGAACTTGCTGGGCCCCCCAAGGAGCCACATTCTGGATGAGAATGCGGCCTACTGATGGTCTTGGCGTCAGCCTGAGGGGAAAACCCCTTTGCATCAAGCCAGACGTCTGACCACGGGTCTCTGACCTTCAAACTTTCCAGGAAGATGTGAAGCGCCTGCTCTTAAACTCAGTGGACACAGGTGACGCCCCCCAACCCTCTGAAGGACTGGCCAGCTCGTCCACTGCTGGGGAAGGTGCGGGGGATAGCAGCACTGTGTGATCGCTCCAGAGAAATCCTGGCGTCCACATCTTCCTGCAGTGTCTGGCTTCTCTTGCCAGCTGAAGGCAAGTGCCTGAAAGAACCCTGGACCCACTGGGGCCTCCTCTTAGCAGGCCCTGCCGGGAGCATCCAGCACTTCTCTAGAACACGCGCAACCCAAAGTTGTTTTTTCCAACTTTGGGCCTCACCTCAGAACCCGCCCTTGTGAAATTTAATTTTGATTTAGAAATAACCTCAGCTTTACAGAGAAGTGGCAGGTGAGTGCATATCACCGTTTTTTCCCCCCAAGTCATTTGAAAACAAATTGCCTACAGGACGCAGCATTCATCAGCTCCTTCATGCTCTAGTGTGTATTTCTCCAAAAGACAATCTCTTATGTAACCACCAGCGCCTTATACCCACACTTCAGTTTTTATTTTATTTTATTTTTTATAATTTTTATTTTTTTTAAACAATATTTTCTTCCCCCACCCCCTCAGGTTAAGTCCCCATAGAATTTCCTTCCCCAAGGCACCCCCGGGCACCATCACCTCAGTCCCCTGTGCTCCTCCCTCCCTCTGATCCCTCTCCCTCCACCTCCCCTGCAGGATGTCTCTGATTTATAATTGTCTGGTTTTGCTTTGTTGTGTTTTGTACTATTTTTTCACACTGATTAAAAAAAATTGTGTTCCCCTATATTCCTGTTATAAGTGAAACCATCCAATATTTTTATTTTCCCTTCTGGTTATTTCACTGAGCATAATTCCTTCTAGCTCCATCCACGTTGCTGCGAATGGCATGAGTTTTTTTTTTTTGATTGCTGAGTAATATTCCATCATGTATGTATGCCACATCTTGATCCAGTCAACTATTTTTGGGCATTTGGGTTGTTTCCAGGCTTTATCTATTGTGAATAGCGCTGCAATAAAGATAGATATACAGGTGCTCTTTTGAATCAATGTTTTTGTGTCCTTTGGGTAGATCCCTAGCAGTGGAATTGCCAGGTCCTATGGTAGGTCCGTTTTTAGTAGACTGAGGAGCCTCCAGACAGCTCTCCATAGTGGTTGGACCAGTTTGCACTCCCACCAGCAATGCAGGAGAGTTCCTTTTTCACCACATCCTCGCCAACATATGTTGTTGTTTGTTTTTTGATATGTGCCATTCTCACTGGTGTAAGGTGGTATCTCAGTGTGGTTTTGATTTTCATTTCCCTGATGATAAGGGACTTTGAACATTTTTTCATATGCCTGTTGGCCATTTGCATTTCCTCTGTGGAGAAATGTCTTTTAAGTTCTTATGCCCATTTCTTGACTGGATTGTTTATTTTGTTTTTGTTGAGTCCTGTGAGTTCTTTGTATATCTTTGTGATCAGTCCCTTATCAGTTGACTGGAGTGCAAAGATTTTTTCCCAGTCAGTGGGGTGTCTCTCTGTTTTGGTTAATGTCTCTTTGGCTGTGCATAAGGTTTTCAGTTTGATGTAATCCCAGGTGTTTATCTTTTTTTATCTTTTCCTTGGCTTTCTTTGCTTTGGGTGATGAGTCTTTGAAGATGCTACCGAGATATCTGTCTTGTAGTGTTTTACCTATATTTTCTTCTATATTATGGTTTCAGGTCTTATGTCCGTCCAGTTCTTTTATCCATTTTGAGTTGATTTTTGTGCACCGTGAGAGGTAGTGGTCCGGTTTTATTTTCTTGCATGTGGAGGTCCAGTTTTCCCAGCACCATTTATTGAACAAACTGTCATGTTCCATTGCATATTCTTTGCTCCTTTGTCAAAGATCAGTTGTTCATATAAGTGTGGCTTTATTTCTGAGCTCTCTATTTGGTTCCATTGGTCTCACACTTTAGTTTTTAGAGCCCATTCAAGACCCACCAGTTGCCCCATAATCATCTTCATAGCAAAAGGATCCAGGTTGGGGGATCAGTCCTGTTTAGTTGTCATATTTCTCTCATCTCCTTCAATATAGAAAAGGTCTTTGTCTCTCTCAACCTTGTCACTTTTGAGATAACAGGTAGTGATTTGGTAGATTGTCCCTCAGTCTGGGTTCACCTCATGTTTCTTGGGGTTTGGATCGGGCTGCACATCCTGGGCAGGTGACAGGAGTGCTGCAGGGTTCCCCATCCTATCAGGTGGTGCACACACTATGTCCCGTTACAGATGCTCACTTTGATCACTTGATTAAGATGGTATCTGCCAGGCTCCTCCACGTAAAAGTACTTTCTCCCTTTGTAATTAATAACTCTGTGGGCAGGTACTTTGAGACTGTGTAAATATCCCATTTCTCATTAAATTTTCAATTTATTCATTTATGTCAGTATGGATTCATGGGTTCCTATTTTATGCAATGGGTTATAAACTGCTGCTATCATTATTTATTTTGATGTTCAAATTGCCCCAGATTTGGCCAGGGGGAGCCACTCAAACTGGCTTCTGTTTCCTTTTGCTGTATCCCCATCATTACTTGAGCATCACTTGCTTTTTCGGCACAATAACGTGTTCTAGGGTTATCTCGCGCTTTCCCTGCTCCGGCCTTGGAATCAGTCACTTCTCCAAGGAACCCTGGCCATTCTAGCAGGTGATTATGCATCAGATGTGAGGTCTGGATGCAAGGAGTGCCCTCTGCTCTTGGTGTGTTGCTGCTTCCCGCCTTCTCTGGGGCTCGAGCTAAGGCCTAGATGATTATGGAGCTATTGATTGATAAATCACATTTAATCTGTTTTTGCCCACACTTGCGCTCTCTCACCTGTCTTCCACTGAAAACTGTGCGTTCACAGATATACCTCCAATTCTAATCCAGGGCACACGCTAGTCTTTCCCTTTCCTTATTTGTGACCCTAACCCCCCACAGTGCAAGGCACGGACCCCGCTGCTTGCAGTAGATGCATGTACGGATCTACCTGTATGTGATTTGTCTCTTGCATGGAATAGGGCTCCTCCCACTGCCCCCCTCGCCTAAGAATCGCCTCTTCACCCTGTCTGTGCTCTGGCCCACCAGGCGGGGGGCACCTGGGAAGTCCTGCTCGTCTTGCGAGAACACCCGCTTGACACCCTGCTCTGGGCCACCAAGGCTTCCTTGGGCCTCCAGTTCAGACCTTGCTTAACCTCACCTCCTGGATTTTGGTAAAATTGTACATAAAAGGAAGGGAAGGGAGTGACAAGAAAATAATAAAAAGGGATCCTGAGGACTCAGCCACACCCCAGAGGTGCCCAAACATGTTTAGGCGAGCCCCTCATGCTCGGGTACACCCAGAGTCGCCCATCGCTGGGAAGACACTGCAGCAAAACACCTGACTACTTCTCCCCCTGATTGGTATATCGCTACACCTGTCGGGATGTGACTGATTTTTAGCCTAATTTGCATAGTGGTCCGGAGTGTGAACTCGCCCACCTTTTCTCTGTATTTAAGCCCTTCCCACCCCAGACAACCTGAAACACATTTCAGGGGTTCTTGGTTCTGTGTCTCCAGGGCTCAATCCAAAAGCCCCCAATTAATACCTTGATTGAATTTTGATTTTTTGGCTAATAGGAGGGAAAGGGAAGAAGAGAGGGAAAATCCATTTAAAATGCCCCTCACTGGTCTGAGGTGGAAGCCACCACCTCCTGCAGGCCGAGGGTGGCACTGCGGCTTTGCAGGCCTTGGGTTATCAGACAGGTGACTGGTCTTGTTTGTGCTGTGGCTTCCTGTCTATACTCCCAACTTAACCTCTCTGTGCCTCAGTCTTCTGATCTGTAAAGTGGAGATAACGGCAGCATGTGCTGTTAAGAGAATGCAACACCTTAGGCCCAGGTCACATGAGGTCTTCTAGGGTGCCTGCTCCCTCTCTCTCTCCCAGCTGCTTCTGGCCAGGAGCTAAGGCAGAAATGAAGCTGAACAAGCATAAAGTCCACCTCCAGGAGTGCTTAGCATCACCTTAAGATACTCTCAGGCATTTCTCTCTCCACTGTAGCTGTCTGAGTCCCGACAGATTTGGACCTGGGCTGGAGGGCAAAGCTGTAGACACTTGGCCCTGTGGTAGACCTCTGCCCGGAGCAGATCTGGGGCTGGGGCCAGTGGCTTCCTGGTGCCTGCACCCACCCATGCGCTGGAGGCATCAGTGCTGGGCTGTGAGCTCGGCAGGGCTCTGCACATTGCCCCGGTGTGGGCTCTTCCCAGGGCTCAGACTTGCCCTCTTCTCCTTCCAGCACCCAAACCCTCAAGTCTGCTTCTCTGTTGTCTCTGAGATGAGAGGCATAGCAGCGAGGGTGATGCTGAGCACAGCTCTGCAGCCACTTGCAGGCGCTCCATGGCTTTACAGGGGCTGGAGCAGGCCTGGCGGCAGCTGTGCCCTACCAAAAATGTCTTGCCAGAGTCTGGTGATGCAAGAGAGGCTAAGTGACATGGAAGCCTGGAGATGCTTTGGCCACGAGGGCTCTAAAGTCAGGCATCATGGAGTGCACAGCAGCTAAGCTGACCAAGTCCCTGTAGTTTTCTGACTTGAGTTTCCACGTGTCTGCAGACATCTCCTGGAGCTCTGGTTACACACTGGGTGTGGGCTCTCTGAGCTGATGGCCCAGGTAACAATGTGTGCGGTTCAAGTGTGACTATGAGGTCCACCTGAGGAGGCAGTTCCCTGTTATGCCTGAGGGCTTCCTGGAGGGGGTGGCAGATCTCTTTGCTCCCTAGCCTTCTCCTAGAAGAGAGGGGTCTCAGGGCTGAAGCACCCAGGGTGAACCTCCTTGCAGATCTGCACCTCTTCCTCTGGCAGTTCCCAACTCAGGTTCTGACAGAGCAGAGGCCTGAGCTCAAGGCTAATTGTGAATTAGGAGCCCAATTATGCCCGGCAGAATTGGCTCTGTGCAGCCTCCTCTTCCCGACAGACATGTATATTAATAGTTGGCACTTATTGAACCAAATATGAATATTCATCTTCATTTATATTTCAAGGCCTTTCCTCCTGGAGGCCCGCGGGGCTGCGACCAGCTCCAGCCCCATCACGGAGCTGACAGCTCGCACTCCTGGGCCCTGACTCCTGGCTCCGCGGGGCCGAGGCAGCAGGCCTGGCTCCCAGCTGTCCACAAACACTCATTAGGGGGCCGGACCCAGCGAGCTGCGGAGAATGTGTAATCGCGCTGCGCGCTGCTAATTAGGGAGCTGATGGGGCATTGAGGGCGAGAGGACGAATTCTTTAAACAGAGGACGGAAACTTGAAGAGCTGTAATTACTTGGAGCAGAGTTCATTTCAGAACTTGGGAGCCAATGAGTCTGATGACAGCCCTGCTCAGAAGAGGGCGGGCGGCAGGGGAGAGGACGGAGCCATAAGGTTGGGGCGGGCACCCCAACCTCAGGCCTCCACAGATCCCCGTGGCCAGCATCCTCCCTGCCTTTCCTCTGTCTGATGCAGTCCAGCTGTGTGGGCTCCCCCTCTCCCTCGGGACAGCTCCTCCACCCTGGGGTCACCTTGAGGCCAGCCTCCTGTCTCTCCAGAGTGCTCCCCTGGCATTGCTGAGTGATCCCAGCACCACCAAGGGGCTTGGACCTCCACTGACAGCCACCACTGCCCAGAACAGTAAGTCACAGCCCAGCCACCTGACAGCTGATGTTTTTTCCCGGAGCCAGCCGAGATGGGGGGTTTCAGGCTCCCTAAAGACCGGGACTGGGGACTGACAGGAATTAGGCTGCAGTGGGAGGGGGAACTTAAGGGCTCTTGCCAAGGGGACTTTCTCCAGCATCCCCCAGCAGGTCACACTTATAGGGAGTGTGCATTCTTCCGGTGCTCTCGTCTCCTCATCTGCCTCCTCCCCTCCGAGTCTCACCCCTCCACCACTGGTTTTCTTCCTCCTCCCTGTCTGTAATCCCTCCTCTCAGGAAGGCCTCGGTACTAGCAGCTGGAAAAGGAAGCCTTCCTTGCTTCTCCCTGCTGCCCCAGCCAGGGTCCTGCATTGGGGCTGAGTATCCTCGCTCAGCAGCCTGTCGTCTGGAAGCCAAACAGAAGAAATTGGAGCTGGGCTTAGGGGCACAAGGTTTATTCAGAAAACTGGTATTTCTGGGAGACAGCGTGCTCACACCCTAGAGAAACCATCTCCCTTTTAGAGGCTGGAGTTGGATTTTTATAAGAAAAAGCTAAGTTTTGGGAGGTCCCCACTGTTATCTCCCTGGCTCCATTTGGGTGAGAAGGCTGGTCTGGTCGTGGTATCTGCAGGTTACGTCTGTCAACACAAAGCTCTGGCAGCAGGCCAGAGCTCGCTGACGGCCTTTTTCGGGAGTTAATATGTTCATGATCTAAGTGAGTATTCTAAAGGTGTGGTTGGCCAACTGAGGCAGAAGCCTTTTGCCTTTTGTACTTTGAACATCACCTTGAAGCAGTTCAGGGGCCCCTACTCCACCCCCGACCCACTCACCTTCCGCCTGAAAGTCCATCACCACCAGATACCACAGGACAGCTGTGGGCAAGAGCTCCAGGCCCAAGGCCAGCCGTGGGTGTGCGGCCTTCAGGTGGTGGTCCTGTCTCTGTCCCCACTGCAGGGAGCTTCATGCCTGGCTGTTCCCGGAACTGTGGGCAGGTTCCATGGAACATGTGCTCTTCCCCTCCCCCCCCAATCTGCAGCAATTGTTAGGTCTGTATCCACTCAGAAAGGACTCACTTCCTCCATTAGCAAGGGCATCTCTCCCTGATGTTGGGGGGAGCTGCGATTGGTTTCTTTTCTCATGGACATTCCTGTCTGTTGCTCAGGGAGAATCACATGACCCACATGGCATTTGTAAGTTCTGGAGTCTCTGGGCAGAAAAGTATTGTCAAATCCTTCTCTGCCTCGTTGCTGAGTATTGCTCACTAACTGACATGACGATGATGGTGCTGGTGATGACGGTGATGACAACTAAGGCTGCTATTTATTGGGCACTGCCTGCGAGCCAGACACGGGTCTCAGTGCTTCACAGGCATTAACTGATTTAATAACCCTAAGTGGGTATTACTATTATCACCCATTTTACAGATGAGGAAATAGAGGTTCAGAAAAGCTTGTTGGTAAGTGGCTGAGCAGGTGTGGGTTTCAATTCCTGTCTGTCTGACCCTAAAGGCCATGCTCCTGGTCTCAATCCTTGAATGCTGGAAAGCCAGGGCAGCATTGCCCAAGGACCTGGGACCGAGACCCAGCAGGGCCTCCCCTGGTGGCGCAGGCGGTTGAGCGCAGCAATGTGAAGCTGTCTGCAGCTTCTGTAGCACGGGTTCCATCCGGCCGGCCAGGGAGCTACTCACATGGCGCAGCAGACCTCTCCTGTCTCGCCCGCTGCTCCCCTCAGCAGTGTATTTCAGTCAATCTGCCTGTTCTGTTCCTCATTCTGTCTCTGGTGAATCCTCTCACCCTCCCGCGCATCTGGTCTGTACCCTGGTTCTTGTATGCATGGTTAAATCTTAAAAAAGAGAGAGAGACCCACACAGCAGAGAGGAAGAGCAAGGAAAGTCCCGTATTGGTGGGAGGAGAGGATGAGGTCAGGGGAATTCCTCAGGTCCCCCCTCAGGGACCTGGGAGCAACTCTCACTTCTGCCCAGATCCCTACAGTCCAGGACTGTAGCCACTTACCCCGGGCAGCTTTTTAAATGAACTTAGATTAAGTAAAACTACAAATCGGGCTGTTCAGTCGTGCTGGCCACATTTCCACATTCAGTTACACGTGGCTTTTAAATAACCTCCACTGTTATCATCACCCCTAATTGAATGCCAGTGGCCTTGCCAGCACAGGGTGGAGTCTGAAACTGCAGGGATCTCCCCAGTGCCCATCAGGGGCTCAGAGCATTGAATGCCCGGCAGGGGCAGGGATAGAAGGGACTGTGTAGGGAAGTTAGGAGCCCCACCCGTACCTGCCCCTGCAGCCCCTAGTAAAGCCTCAGAAGTTGCAATTAACAGGCAGCAGCCACTGCTTCAACCTGCCTTTCCCTTCCTCCCGGGGGCAGCTCTCAGAAGCTTTGCTCTTTTCCCGCAAGAAGAGATCAGAAACAGAAGCATTCGGGCTGTGCCTGGCTCTCTCCTCTCCCTGCGTGAAGTCTGTGCCCAGCCCTGCCAGGCTGTGCTTCCAATTAGGAAAGCGAGGCTGCGGCCATGGAGGGGCCGGCGTCCAGCCAGCAGCCCACCTGGCCCCCCTCCCCGATAATCAGGGCCTAATTGATGTGGGGCTTGCTAGGCAGGCAGGGCTCCTCTGGCTTCCGCAGCCCCAGCTGCTGCTCCTTGGGAAGGGGCTCAGCCCTTCGTCCCAGCAAGTTTGGAAACCATCTGGACAGAAGGTGACAGCCCGGGGCTCACAGCACTCTGGGATTTCTCCATGTCCCTGGGCAGTTGCGGGGCCCACGCTGAGCTGGGTGCTGAGCATCACAGAGGGCCTGCCAGGCCATAGCCCTGCTCCTGTGAACTCAGACCTGGACTGGTAGGTACCTTAGGCTGGTACCTTGGGCAATTTTATCCACTGGCACTGGGGTGGGGGAGGAAGTTTAGGAAGGGAGATAAGGCCTGAGGGTGAGGAGAAGGTGGGTGGAGAATAGTCGGGGCTCAGGCTGAGCCTGCCAGGGGTCTTTCCTCATCGACGCCACCTTGTTGTTGGAACTGACCCACATGGAAGAAGGCGAGGAAGGAAGGTGGGTGGAGGGGACACAGTTAACTAGCATTTTGTCATCTCAACAGTTTACCCAGTGCTTTCCAGGTGTTGTGCCCACAGCTTTGGGAAACAAGTGGGCAGGGCTGTCCTTCCCAGTCTGCAGCAGGGGAAACTGAGGCCCACAGCAGGGGACTGTTTGGCTCAGGCCGCACAGTGTGTGTCGGGGGGTAGACTGGACACCTGTCTTTTATCCTCTGGGTCCCTACCCCAGGGCTCTCGGGACCTGGCTGTGGTCATGGCCGCCACCAGAAATATCAGCCCTCACTTGGCCTGGAGAATAGTATTTGTTGCTTAAAGTGCTCACATTTGGTTGCAAATGGACTGGACTTGGGGCTGTCACTGATGTTTTATTTGGAGTTTTAGGGGAAATGGCACCAACGAGAGAGGCCACATTAGGGCTACACGGCTTTAGAAAGTATGCCAGAGGACTCCATCCAAGCAGCTCTGGTAAAGAGATGCCCCCGGCCCCTGAGGCCCCAAGGAAGTCCCCCTCTGATGAGGCAACTGAGAAAAGGGAGAACTTTTGCACATGGGTTAACATACAGAAAGGGATTTCATTTGGGACATTCATTCTCTGTAAGAACGCAACGATGAGAGAAGGATTAGAAGTACAGATTGGGGGTGGAGCTGCATTGCTGCTTAGGCTTCTGAGGTGCGAGTCGCCTGAAGCCTTCCTCCTGTGCCCTGGGCCGAACTACCTGGGACAGCGGGGCTGGTTATAACTTGAGATGGGGAGATAGAGGGATAAATCTTGAACCTGGATTGTAGGGTGGCCTTGCCTCCACCAATTAATGTCTTCTTCTAACCCGTTCCGAGGTTTCTGGGGGCCTTGGTTCTCTAGGAGGTGTTGGTGGAAGGGCCTCACCTAGAGGCCCAGAACTGAGTTGATGGGCTGCTGATCATCCCCCCTGGGAAGTAGCCATGCCCCTGTTTTGCAGACCAGAAAGTCAAGAGAACAAAAACTGGGTGACCATAGGGAAAAGAAATGCTTTCCCCAACCTCCCCCTCCATGCCAGACCTTCTCCTGACCACTGTCCTCCCTACTTCTGACAAAGGATGGCATTGTCTACCTACTGGGTCAGAACCAAGGCACTCACTGACTCATGATCACGTCTTTAGTGGATCCCAACTCAGGTTCATGCTGTCTTGCTGACCCCGACATGAGCCCTGAGTCCTGTGCCCACCTGTCTTCTGCTCACCCCTATGGCTTCATGTCCTGGGAGGGGAAATGACCCAGAGCTTCTCCTGGGGGTTCTCGCTCTTTCCTCAGACCCTCCTGAGAGCACATATTCAAATTTGAGAAAGTGACAGGTGCCCTGGAGACCGGATAGCACGAGCTCAGTCCAGTCACTCAGAGCACTGCCTGGGGCATTAGGTCTCGCACAGCTGTTCATAGAGCAGAGCTCTGGTTTCCGTTCTGTTTGGCTCCCCCAGAAGCCCCACCAGGAAAGGGGGGGGCTGTTACACAGCATAGGATACAGGCATTCCTGGGTCCCCAGCAAAAATCATCTCTAATGGCACCACAGCCTCACCCTTAACCTAGAATGGTTATTAACATATTAATTAATATTTAAAAACTCATTATGCCTTGATGATGGCTTCTTTAAGCTGCTTTTATATTAATTGCAGCCACCCAGGAGCGATAACCATACTTATATGGCAAAATGGAGTCGTTCTACTTAATTACCAAGGAGGTTTTACAGGCAGATTTCAAAGCCCACAAACAGAGAGTTGATGTGATGTCTTCCTTTTAGATTTTCTGTTAAATTGAATGCTGTAATGGCTAAAAAGTTGTTTCTTACGTGGAGATGAAACCTTTTCATTAGTCCCCTGCTTTCTCCCCATTCTGCAAGGCAGCAGCACCTGGTCTTCCTGGGCCCACCTGAGGAGAGCCTGTCTTGAGGCTGCAGATGGAAGGGACAGAGGGACACTCTAACATCTACCAGCCCCCGCCCCTGTCCAACAACCCCGAAGCTGAGGTCCCAGGTCTGGAAGTCCTTTTCCCCTTGGCACTGTCTTCCTTGGAGCCCAGGACTGAGGCCCGAGTGCCCTGTCCGTGGTGGACAACAGTCTTCTGGGTGGGCTACGCCTTCCACCCTTCAGTTCTCTGGGGGGATCCTGCCATAGCACCCCTCCTCCCTGTGACCTGCAGGCTTACTCCTGAGCCATTAGCCCCTAAACCAGCACCCAGCTCTGTCTTGGGGTCCTGCAGCCACTACCCACTGGCTTTGCCCAGGCCTGCTTCATCCGGTGACAGCAGGACGGCACTTCACAGTCTGGTGAGACAGTTGCGGATGGTGAAGGGGATGGGAGAGCAGCCACAGCAGCCACTGCCATCCTTCCTGCCTGGCTGGCCGGTCCCTGTCCTCCGTCCCTGAGTGACTCAGCATATTAGGATTGGATGGAGGGCACAGCTTGGCACCAGATGCTTGGTGATATTTGCCTCACTGATGCCCCCTTCAGGCTCCAAGGTGATGGAGGGGGGTGTCCATGGTGGCATGGAGGCTTCAGGTCAGCTGGAGGACTGAGGCCAGGGCCCCGTGGGCCCGGCGAGGCATCGGTCTAGGCAGATCGGTCTAGGCAGCCAGTAGAAGGTGTGATTGCAAACAATGTGCCTGGAAAATGATCCCATCCCCTGGCCATCCCTTCTGGGTCCTGCCCCAAAGAAGCCCTCCAGGGCAGCGATGGAGTTAAATGGTGCTGAGAAAAGGAATCAGCTTACTGTGCTTTAGAAATTATGGTGATGTGACAAGCAGGGAAATTGGTGCATGCCTCCCTGGCTGCTGATGGCACCAGAATTCATCCATCACCAGCAGCACCAGGGGTGCTCTTAGGGGTCCCCTGTGGCTCTCCGGGCAGTTGCCCAGCATGGCTGGGCCTGAGGAGGCCAAGGCTAGAGTGGGGCTGAGTCAGGACTGAGGTCTCAGGGTCTCAGAGGGAAGTCAAAAGGTAGGGCAGGAGTGAGGCCTATTTATGGCTTGTCTGTGGCCAATCAGGGTCAGTTTGAGGTAAGAGTGGATTCAGGTCAAATGAGGTGTCCCTGTCAGTTTAGGACAGGGTTCAGGATTAGGGAATAGAATCGGAGTTTGATTTGGGGGGATGGATATTCTGTCATGGATAAGGGTATGGTTGGGGTTGCAGTAGGGGATGTGTGTGTGTGTTGGGGGGTTCCTTGTTTAATTATCATGCTGTCTGGGGACCCAGAGAGAGGATATGACCAGACATCCCGGGGGTTCACTCCAGCCCGCCTTGGGCCCCTTCAGGGGTATCCTCTAGTTTTCAGCCCAGTGTGCTGAGTTTTTTCTTGTCCTGGTCCCAGGGCCATCTCCATTTTCCCCATGTCCCAAACATTTTCTGAGACATTGGGAAGCTCTGAAACTCCAGGTCTCCAGTCGTTGGTGTTGCTGCCAGTGTGGACAGTGCAGTGCCGTCTCCAAAGGACAGGGATTCTTGGTTCTCTCTCTTCCCTCTCCCCTCCCTGCTCATGGCCGCCAGCCCACACCTGCCATTGAGCTGCAAACCCTGTTTCTGGCCAGGTGGAAGTTTGACTCTAGGTCTTAGGGAGGAAACTTTAACTTCTCTGTTGGCAGCACTTGACTCCCAGCCCCTCCTTCAGCCGCCCTACGTCCTCCTTCAGACTTAGGCAGAGCCGCTCTGTGACTGGCCCCTGTAATGGGCCACTCCTTTCTTCACTCTCCCTTGATGACCCCCCTGTCAAGGTCCCTTCCTGGGGCTAAATCAGGGTGAGTCCTCCCTCATTTCAATCCCAAACTTGACCTTTGGAGATTTTGTCTCCAGGCCGCACACAGGACCCTCTCTGAGCAGACCCTTCCTGCTCTGGCTGTGTGAGAATGGGATGGGAGATGTAGCAGTGGGTGGTCTGACCTCCCCCTCTCCAGTGCCACAGGCCTCTGGGTCCATTCCCAGTGCCGTGAGCTGTTGGGGTCTGCCTCTCCACCCATACCCCCACTTTGAGTTCTTTTTGTTTTTCCATGATTTCTCCAAAATGGGCCTTGCTCTTCCTCACACTACCTTGCCTCCTGCTATGGGAATCTGGGCCCTGTTCACCCACTGTGTATCCTGGGGAGAGTGGGTGTGGCGGGCGCTCCGACTGCAGACTCCCCAGTCAGGGATCCAAATCCTGCTTACCACTTGCCAGCGGGATAGCCTTTGGCAAGTCACATGACTGCTCCAAGCTTCTGTTTCCTCAGTTTTAAAATGGGAATAACAATATGCCCTGCCTGGCTGTTCTGCTTTGAGTTTTAAGTGAGACAAGGCATGTGAAGTGTAGTGCACACTATAGGTGCTCAATAAATAGCTGAAACTTGCAGCATCTCTCCTGAGCATGCTCACAACTCCCTGGGGCCAGATGAGATTGATAGTGCCAGGGCTCGTTAAGAAGGTGCTCCCAGGAGAAGCTTGTAAGTACTGGAGGGGAGGGGTGCGGCCAAGCTGATGAGGGGTGGATGGGGTGCGGATTGCAGACTCTTTCAGTTCCCTGGAGAGCAGTGCCATTCCAATCCTGCAGGGGGCACTCTGGAGCAAAGTGCTGATTCCTAGTTGCCTAAGTAGGGCCAAGGGAGCTGGGTTGTCATACTCCAGTCCCTGTTGTATGAAAAAGGACCACATGGTGGTTAATTTCATGTGTCCACTTGGTTGGGCTAAAGGATGCCCAGATACTTGTCAAACGTATTTCTGGTGTGTTCGTGGGGGTGTTTTCAGAAAATGATTAGTATTGATATTTGAACTGGGTGAAGGTCCAATCTTTTGAGGGTCTAAGTAGAATAAAAAGATGGAGCAAGGACAAATTTGCTTTCTTGAGCTGAGACATCCATCTTCTCCTGTCCTCAGACATTGCTGCTCCTGGTTCTCTGGCTTTGGACTCAGACTGGGAGTTAGTACACCATCAGCGTCCCTGCCTCGCAGGCCTGTGGATTCAGACCGAGTCATACCACCATCTTTCCTGGTTCTCCGGTTTGCAGATGACAGGTAAGGGACATTTCAGCCTCCATGACCAGCTGAATCAATTCCTAGAATGAATCTCCTCTTACATATATGTGTGCATGATGTGTAGATATGTCTATTTCCTATTGGTTCTGTTTCTCTGGAGAATCCTGATTAACAGCCCAGCTCAGAGACGTCAGCTCCACACAGCTGGCTTAGCACTTCTGGGGAAGCCACCTGGGGAGTTGTACATGAGGTGAACAGAGGCTCATGCTCACCAAAGCTAGCGAGAAGTTCACAGAAATGGTAAAGAAGACACAAGGGGGCTTGGGCAGAGCATTCTGTGTCACTATGCTGACTCTGGATATGGGGCCCAACTCCTGAGGCTTGGGATGGCTTAGAGGCAGCCAGTTTGGGCTGATGTAGGAGCTAACCCCACACTGGTCAGATTCTGGGGATGAAAGGCTCCAGGTGCAAAGGCTTCTCCAAGAAGGGAAAAATACCAATAGTGATAGGAGCAAACAGGAAGCAAAGCAGCAGGTCAGCTGTTGCAGCCCCAGCTGCTCCCCAGTATGGAAGCACAGGGCAAGTGGAGCCAGTCACCTAGAGCGCTTTAGAGGCCTCCCCATGAAGGGGATAATTTCCTCTCCTCTCAGGGCCTAGACTGAGAACAAGGCCAGGTGTGAGGGTCCTTGTTCCCCAGGGGCCAAGGCAGAGTGGTCACCCCAGGCAGCGAAAAATGGCAGAGGAAGGCATTTAGGTGACTGAGCCTGAGGGCAGCCTCACAGTGCCCCCTCCTCCTGCCACACACACACACACACACACACTGTCCTGAAAGGGCAGGAGTGCTGGGGAGATCCATGACAGTTTCAGACGCATCTGCAGTTCGTGGCCTACTGCAGGCTGCAGAGTGGGGGTCTGGTGAGTGTTGCTGGTCAAGCATCTTGGTTTCTTGGCCCTTTTGGAGCGGGGCTGGACTGAGCTTTAACTCCATGATGGGGTCACATGTCTGGTTCTGGCCAGAGAGGCAAGCACAGAAGTGACAGGTTCCATTTCCAGAATGGAGCACATCACTTCTGAAGTGAACCCCACCCAGCTCTTTCCCCTGCTGTTGCCACTAGTCATGTTGCAATGGGGGCTGCCTTGTCCGCCTGCGTAGGAGGGAGCACCACGGTGTGGGGCAGAGCAGGCTGACTTGTGACAAACACTTCACAGGCGCTGAAGTAAACTGTGCTGCGCATCCCTGAGATTTGGGGGCAGTTTGTTGTCACGGCGTAACCTAGCTTACACTGGCCAGGACAGGGCTCAAGGACTCAGCATTTCCCTGGGGCTGGTTGAGCCGCGCCGAGACCAGTGAGCACATGGACCTGGTCCCTTTCCACTGTGAGAGGCACAGGCTGCCCCAGCACTTGGCTGCCATCGTAGGTAGAAGGATGGAGAATGAAGTGAAAGCGGAGAGAAACAGTCCCAATAGCTTGAGAAGACTGGGTGTTTTTGCAAAAGATGTTGCGTTAACCCTGAAAGAAACTGTTTCAAACTGGAAAAGGTGAAGCTATTGTTAATTGGTAAGTTCATGGATCTCCCGACTCCTGTCCCAGTCACCTGTGGGAATTTAAGCTGAAGAGTAAGATGAGTTATAGAAAATAAAGGTCGATGGTTTTGCACATCTGAATATAGAACATTTTGCAATTTTGTGGCTGCCCAACTTAGTTGTATCTGATTCCACAGTCCATCCTGCACTGTTCTCAGACCACACCTGTTCCCTAAAATGCTGTCCCTGCGGAGGACTTACCTGGGGAAGCAAGAAAGATGAAGGCTGGGGCTTGGGGGACATGAGGAAGCTGTCTCATATACCCAGTCTCTGTTTAAGAACTAGAGAAACCAGGGGCAAGATGAGGATGTCCTCAGGGCCAGGGAGCTAGTGAGGGCCAGGTGGGCGCATCAGAGGCCTTCCCTCACAAATGCCTTGCTCCTTCTCTTTGATCTTTTCCCAGAGCATCACCCCATATTTGCCACCAACTCTCATGCCAGGAACGTGGGTTGCCCTTGTCTTCTCCCCCACTGCATTCGGTCCTCAAGTCCTCTGATCTGACCCTTGGGCTCACCTTTCTCCTGTGCCCTGTGCCCAGGAGGCTGATGACATGACTGCTTTGGGGCAGTGTCGCTCCTCTCCCAGCTCTCAGGGTCATCAAGGGCTCACAGCACCCCTCAAATGAAGCATAGCGCCTCTTCTGTGGCACCGCACAGCTCCCCTCTCCCTGGGTTCAAGGAACTGCCCCCTCCTAATCACCTTTGTGGCCTGGGTTGAGGGGAATGGCTCCCCACCATTCCTAGCTCTAGGGTGCAATACATTCTTTCTAGATTTTCCGGACCTTACTCTCATCTGTAAAAGCTGTCCTTTGAGTCAGTTCTTTTCAGTATGCCCAGTCTGGGGGTGCCATATGCTTTCTGCCAGGACATAACAGAGAGAACCTCCCTGGAAGGACTTCGAAAGGATGGAGATAATGGATAAAGTACAAAGAGCAAACAACTAGTGCACAGCTGTCACTTAGCAGCTGGAAGTTGTAATTAACTATAACCTACTAAATGCCATGTAGCAACATTTATCCCCAACCCCAGTGCCACTTTCCTCAAAGAGGTCGCATTATTTTTCTCCTGATCATTTTAATTGTCCTTCTTGGTCTCCCTGTCTCCCTCCCTCTCCCCCTTTCTTCTGCCCTGCTGGGCTCACATCTCATCGCAATGCTCCCTGCGTGAACCTCTCAGCACCTTGGTGGAGTCTCAGCTCCCCAGCCTGGCCCACAGGTCCTTCCTGCCCGTCCTGTCCATCACACACATGATCTCCCGGTGGGGACTCTGTCCCCAACTCCCTGGGCTTCCCTCTGCCTGTGCTCTAGTTCTGTGCGCTGTGCGTGGATTTTCTTGGCAGTCTCTTTTGCTAGACTGTTAACTCCATAAAGTTCAGGAATCTGTCTTTTATCGTTTCCCCCAGCATCCAGCCAGGGCCTTGGCCCATAGGAAGTGCTCAGCACATAACAGTGGATGGAGGAAAAGGAAAAGAAAGCTTAATGACACCTTCTCTGTACCAAGCCCTGCCTGGGCATGTTAGCTTCTGTTTGCTGGAGAGTTGCTCGCTTTTAAGAGTGCTAATACAGACATGGTGGTTTTATGAACACATTAGCCAGAACTTTCTAAGTGATGTTAAGATTATAAGATTGGCCTGTCAACAGCTGCAATTTTAATGGTAGTAAGACAATAGATTTTAATTTGGCCTCTGCAAGGCCTCTTAGGGAAGCTCTAGAGATGCTTGGAGGCTGGGGCTCTATCCTCATCCTTTTTTGGGGCCAACATGGTGAAGGGTAGAGGTGGGGGAGCGGAGGGATTTGTGGGGGCAGTCTCTAGATTGACCCTTCTCTTGGGAAACCTGAGCTGAGTTGGGAACTTTCAGGTACAACCTGTGGGCTGTTTGCAGGTAGCTCCAGAGACACATGGGAAAGGTGAAAAGTTAGGTGTTGGGAGAAAGGGATGAAGCCAAAGATGGGGACCAGGAGGGCCTGCACTTTACAGGATGCCTTTAATGATGTAGTTTGGCCTTGGGGTGGGTTCAGAACCAGGAATACCAGCCAGCTGTGGCATCTGAGTCCACTCTCAGACACTGGGATATGCAATAAAGTTGACATGGACCCAAACACTCCACTGCACAAAACAAAGCCTGAAAATGACATTCATCTCTGCGAGTATAAAATAATGGTTAGGAAAATAACCATTTATAAATGGCTATAAAATATGAAGCCAGACTGTCTAGGTTTGAATATCAACTCCTTACTAGGTCTATGATCTGAGGCACATTACTTAACCTTTCTGTGCTTAGTCTTCTAGTCTTTGAAGTGGGGCTGGTGTTATTTACTTCATAAAATAATGAGGGCGAAAGGCACTAATGCTGTAAATTTCTCAGAATACTGCAGGCACATAGTAAGTGCTAAAGAAGGGTTTGCTGTTGTTTAATGAGATGAGCAGGGAAGGGTGCATTAAATAGAGGGGGTGGCATGGGGCTTGGAATGGACTGCATGAAAGTTGCAATAGATTGGGGTTTTAAAGAGTTAATATAATTTTTCCTATGTAGGAGAAGAGCAAGGCAGGACATTCAAAGCTGTGGGCAGAGCCTGAGTTTGTAATTGGATTATCCTTTGAGGGATGGTAAGGGTAGGAGGTATGTGGGGCCAGGGAGAGACAGGGGCTGGGTGGGAGATGAGACCAGGCTGAGGGGCTGGGCTCTACCCTGGAGACTAAGAAGCCATCAGAAGGTTATTTCCAGGGTCACGGGCAGAACCGTGTTCTGGAATCAGTCTGGGGCAATGGAAAGGATGGGGCTGTTGGGTGGGGAGATTGTAAAGTGGAGGGGGCAGTGCACACGCATGTACTCCCTCCCTCCCTCCCTCCCTCCCTCCCTCCCTCCCTCCCTCCCTCCCTCCCTCCCTCCCTCCCAGGTGCTCAGTGGATGGTGTATGGCTTCAGCGCCACAGCCCCTGCTCCCTCTGAGCTCTGATCTGCTGTGTTCACTCTTGGACCAGCCACCATTACCCTTTGGGTGAGCTCTCACTGGGGCCTTTTCTCTGATCTGTCAGGGCCCTGAAGCCCGTTAAAGATGTGGCCTAAATTGAAGTCCTTTTCCCATTATACTTCCCGACTCAGAGAGTGCTTGCATGGGCTTGGGCCTCAGTTCCCATCAGAAGCAGGAGAGGCAGCTCTTACGCCACACCACTGCTCTGTTCTACTTACCCTGACACACAGATTGCTTCCTTAACCCCCAGTGGCCTTCATTCTGCTTTTTGAACCGATACAGGGAAAGCCAAGTATTAAAGCTGTCCATAAAAATATTTATCATGTGCTTTTAGTATGCCAACTCTGTTACAGCCTGTGGAAGAATGCCTACCAGCTGTGTGCCCTTGGGCAACTAACTTTACCTCTTTCTGTTTTTCCTGACCTTTAAAATGGGGACCTAATACCTACTCACCTTGCAGAGTTCTTTGCAGTTTAATAAGTGG